GTTAGATCAGTCGACTCTTCAACCAGCACATTAATCAGTAAGGTTGTAAATAACTGAAAGCCATTTCTCCAGCTGAATGACTCTCTATTTACCCAACACTGACACTGCCGAGAATAAGAGGCTCATTCTGAGCCAACAGACAAACAGTCCGCATTATGCAGTGTTATTGTGCAACACAAAATATTCTGAAATCTTAGAAAAACAGCCTGAACAACAAGGGGGGCTTTACATGGTAAAGTGGAAACAAATGTAGAGTAATTAAACCACTAATCAGTAGAAAAGAAAATTAAAGATAGGTGAATCCTGACCTGATCCTTTAACAACCTTTTTTCCCCCTTTGATACTAATGAGAGAAAAGAATTCTTAAAATCTTGATCCTCAAAATCAATTAGGGTTATAAATATAAAAAAGGATTCAGATACTTTATGTCATACATTTTGATACGATGAAACATGAAAAAAAACTTTCAATAATTAGGGCAAGGAAATTAATGGCTTTTGCAATAAGACCACATTTTAACAAAATGCAATATTCAAATCAAAGAGGCACTGATTTTTAATCACACTATATTTAACAAGAACAGGACACTACATTTCTCTGTCCAGCCCTTTAGGCGGTGGTTAAATGCTTGAAGTGGGGATGTCGCCATACAGAAAGGTAGAGTGATTTGCAGCTAGCTTGCAGGTCCATGCATGCAAGTAAAAGTAAACAGTTTTACACTCAATGGTTACAGTAAAGTCCTCTAACAATGGACTCTGTGTAAGCAAGCTTTCAAAAACCAAAAGCCTGGGGTGAAACTTCTTCAAGCTGTGAGTTAAGAAAAAAAAAGAAAGGAAAATCGAAAATAAAAGCTCAGTTGTGGTGAAAAATAATCACATTTTAGATTTTTGGCAAAATCATTCAGCTCTATCAATTAAGGTTTTGAATCTCCCTGCAAATAAATTACATATCTAATGTCTAAAGGTGTACTGCAGTTACTCAGTCGTTTTTGACAATCAGCAATAGAGTTTATTATAATAGTTAAATATTACTACAGCTGATACAATTAATCTAATAAATCGATTATTGAAATAATCATCCAATAATTTAGTAATCAATTAATCGTCAACTGGAGTGTAGAGAATGTAAAACATGCATTTAGCTGAAAGAGCAACCCACTTAGAGCAGTAATTATACCAAAATTTTAAAACAATATAAAAACAAGTTGTATTTAAGATTTAAAAAAAAATGTTTTCTTCTCTCAATATGATTTACCCAGAACTCCTCAACTAGAAAAGTTTCAGTTGGTTTAATTCTATAAAAAAATCTTCTTTAAGGAGCCTTTTGCTGTGATTATTAATCGATTCATTGAAAAAAATAATCAACAGATAAATTTTTCGCAATATAATCGTTAGTTGCAGCCCTAAATATTACAGTGATTTACTACTTCAAAAGGTAAGAGGAGTCTGAAAAAATAAAGCCAAGCTAAAACTAGAGCAGCATGATATCAGGAAAGTATTTCATTGTGATACTTTAAGGCAAATTTTCTAAAAACTTCCCTTTCTTTTTAGCATTGCACAATGTTCCCATCATTTTGTTATCGCTACTCTCTCAACCACACACAGATCAGGTCTAGGCACTGACTGCATCTGAATTCCAGTTACCTATATGATCAAAGTGCAGAGCATAAACGCCTCACACTTCAAATATAACAATTTATTAAACGTTGTATCCAAGCAGCTCTTTCTCATTGCATTCAAAGATATTATGATGATGCTTGTGACTTATTTGTTGTATGTACTTACACATGATACCACAGAAAAAAAATGGTCATCCACTGTTTGAAGTATGTGATTATAGAAGAATTGCTGCATACTAGGGGTGTGGAAGAAAAAAAAAAAATTTGGCGATATATCGCTGCTCGTTATAATATCGATGTCTCAGTTCTTAATATCAATTTAAATAAAACAAAACATTTTTACCTTTTTTAATTATAAGGGAAAATGGGCTACCTCTGCACCGCCACTCTGCCAGATAGTGCTGTGGAGCCATTTTTGCTGTGCAGCGCAGCACCACATCTGTAGATGAGGAATTCACAGTAGAAGACATGGACTGACTCAAACCCAAAACAACATGGTTACCTAAATAACTAAATCATCAATACCTTCTGATGAGCATTCACAAAACTTGCTTTTTTTTATCTATACAATACATTTTGATAGCGGGGAAAAATATTGCAGTATAACGATATTGCAATATCGTGATTATATCGTATTGTGACACGTATCGCATCGCAACACCCTTGTCAATAATCACGCCTACTGCATACAAAGATAACATGACAAACATTTCACTGGAAATAGAGAAAATATGCTGTATGAATCCTGTTCCACAACAATTAATAAAAAGCTATTTACTAAAGTTGTGTTATTTCACACTGTAGACCCAAACCAGAGCCACTGTTTGTGTAACACAACCTGATTTACTTCAAATCTATTTGATTCTCTGCCAAAAAATGCTACTTTAACCCACTTCTCCAAGGAAACAACACTTCTAAAGTAAAGCTAATGCAAAGCATGACTGTATGACAGAAATTGTAAAAATAGGGGAGATGAGATCAGTTGAAATGAAAACAAAGCCCCTGGTTGCCCATTTCTAACAGACTGACCACCAGGCTTAACGTTTTGTCTCTGCAGGCTGTGACTCATCGCTGCGTCATAAAACTGGTTTTATTTACAGCTGTGTTTTTTAGTGTGCGGTGGCATCGGTGAATTTTTAAAAATAGCACTGTTTTCATGCTTATCAGCTCTGGAGCCACAGTAGCCAATGGGCTCAGGCATACACCCGTGACCTTGGTGAAAAGGTCAACAAGGTAATACAATTGATACGGTCATCTCAGCATTACAGATTGAGCAGCTGACTGATGTCAAATCTGTTAAAGTGCAGCTGCAGTTGATCAGTGTCTCTGGAGAGTGAGAGGGGCAATAAACCAGAGCAGAGAGAAGCAGCAATCTCTCTGGGTAATTTGTTTATTTTGCAGGGACATCACAGAGTGCACTGCCTGTCTGTCTGAAGGTGGCGTAAGGTAAACATACACACCACACTAAGGTGCAGAGAAAAAAATATTTATCAAGTTATTTATGTGCAAAGAGTAGCTGCTGCGTCATATTTAATTAACAGAAACAGTCGGCGATAAAATTATTAACCAGAAATAATCCCCTTAAAAGTCAATTAACTCTAGTGCAATCTCCCGAAAAAGGTCATTACATGTTTGTTAGCAATTATAATTTAATTCTGAGATTTAAACAAACAAACATTGATGGTTGATGTTGCATTATGACTGAAATAAAACAATAAAATATGAAGTTAGCCCTTATAATTAATTCCAAGCATAAATGCTAAAAAAAAAAAAAAAAAAATCAAAGATGCAATAAATATTTTACTGCCCTTGATCTACTTGTGGAAATTCGTTTTTTACTTTTTACAAACTACATGAAGGGATGAACATTTTGGTTCAAAATGACAACATTTTCATCCATCTAATTTAAGCCATTTTTACTATATCATAGATTTTATGTTTAAATTTACTCACATTTAAAACCTGCAATTGATCATTTTTTATTTTTTTAAATGTCCTTTCCAAAAGTAATGCCGTTTTCAGGAAAAAGCAACATATCATAAAAGCAGCAGAGAATAAATGTTTTGTCAACAACTTGTTCAACGACATTTTTTGTTACCATTTTCAAATCAACTTGAAATCTAAAAAAAATAATAACAGAATAACAGAATAAAAATATAATTCTAAACTTGATGAAAAAAGAAGAAAAAAGACTTTTCCAGTTCATTTTTGGTGGGTCTTTAATTAGTTTGCATCAGATTCAGGGTGTAATCATACCTGGCAAATTTAGCCTGTTTTAAACAGACCAGCGTTTCTGGGCTGAACCAAACAACCAGTCCAAGACACACTCTTTGTGCTTCCAAACAGACTCTGCTGCAGGTTTCTTAAAGGTATGTATACAAACTAGCCCCAGTCCAACTCAAAAGAAAAAAGTACACGGCTCTTTGGATTTAGCATCCCACAGTAGTAAACTAGCATCAAAAATCATATCCGTTTCTTAGTTCCACTACTGCCAGCAAGTGGTGGGTCTCAGCAATTGGAGACATTGTCTCTGAATTTAAGAAAAAAGCCTTGAAATCTATGTTGAATGAATTGCTCTTGACGCTGTGTGATTTTACAGCTGCAACAACAGGATAAATATGCAAAATATTAGTGCTGCATGCAGGTCTCCTAGCTTCCCTTCATTTCCAGGCCTTTGCTGCTGTAGTCATTCCTGATCAAATCAAGCAAAGATCCTCACTTAAGAGGCGTTAAAGTGAGTTATAGTCCATTTGCAAAAAGTGAAATTTAAATATAAATACATTTGAGAAAAATAGAGTCAACATTTGGTCAAGACCAAACTAGTGGACCAAAGGACCTTTCTGGTGTGAAAAAAGCCTTAAGCTCCAATATCAGTTTTTAATTAGCATTACAAGGAGATCTCTGCATAGACATCAGCTTGTTTTTAGGCAAACATACACATTTTTTCTGCATTTCTGCTTCTGTTGCACAAAGTCTTTCTGATTTTTATGAAAATCGTTACTCAAGCTTTGGAAATTTGTGATTAAGTCACCAATCACCAAACAGAAAGTCTCTGATTGTGGTATCTTGTCTTCTCAATAATGCAGCAGCACTTCTCCACAGAAAGAGACTAGGTTGTTTATCCGTTTCTGTCACCAATCTGTTGTCAATCCGATCTGCCCTTCTATCCCATGAACAGCCCTTGCTTTCAAAGGTGGTCTGGAAAACAATCTGGTGCAGCTAACGCGATCAGGGTCAGTTACAGGTCTGGCATGCATCCACACATGTTGTCACACAATAACCAGGCCGACAAAAATGTGTTGGCCTGGTGTAACTCGAGTTTTATCAGCTAACAAAGAGCCAGCGGGGGAGCGGGGCCGCTGAGAGATGAGTCTGCTCTTACCATGATGAGACCGGTGGTGATCGGGTCGTTGCAGCCGTGGCACAGCTCCCCAAACTTGGCCCAGTAATCCCTCTTGCAATAAAGCCGTCCATCTTTCTCATAATACCAGTGGGACAGTGAAGCGCTGCACTCGCAACACCTGTTTGACATAAAAAGACATGTTTTAGCAGAACTGAAAATTAATAAATAGGAGTGCACCAATCAGGCTTTTATTGGTCTGAGAAAAACAGAAAATGGAGGACATGCAAGGTTATTTTCATACATCTCAAAGTTTTTTTTTAGTTTTTTTTAAACAAACAAATAAAAAAGTGCGTCAAAATACTTGTTCCTGGATGACATTACTAAGTTTATGTTGCATGCGTCAAGTTTTGACCTCTCACAGTTA